AAGGTTAAAAATAATTAGTTCTTACCTACAGCTAAAAAATCTATTTTTATTTCAAATCAGATGGAAATTAAACATCTCTTCATTTTATAAATTGTAAACATTATTTTTAGTTTTAAAATAAAATACAGTGTATCAATAAAATAAATGTACAAACATAAATATGTCAGAATGTTTATTTTGATTATTTTCATTTAAATTTCCAAATTTCTATTGTTCCATGAAAATTTAAGAAAGAACTGTGTAACAAAAAACTTAATCAATTATAAGTTATATAAAGTCTATGGCTTGTAAAGCAGTGAAAAGAAAAAAAAAGAATGTTTTTAAAAAAAAGTCAACAACTTAAAAATCAAGTCTGAATTTTCAGTAAAAATTGTTTACAAAAAAGGATTGAAAATACTTAAACTATACCTCTTGAAATCTTTTAAAAATAACAACATCAATGAGAATCAAAAAAATGACATAGTAGAAAAACTTTCTGAAACTTTTTAAAATTGCTTGTGCTTTTCAAAATTCCTATTTCTAAAAGAAAACATTGAAAAATATTAAAACTCAGTTTTTACATATATATTATTCCAGAAAGTTACAACCAGTGGCATAGTTACAAGGTGGGTTTTCAAATGTAGAAACAGTTTAAATGATTCTATTTCAAAAAAGAAAACAATATCGGAAGAAAATGAGGTAAAAAAAATGGCTGATAGCATATTGATTGCATACCAAAAAACATAAAAAGCATATATAACTGAGTATAAAAAGAAGATAAATTTAGTTTGAATCTCAATTTAAGTCAGTCTTGAGTTTTAAATGATACATCAACTTTAAGATGTAAAACAAAAACCAACCAACCATTTTAAGATATGTTGAGAGAAAGACTGTTTATAAGAATCTACAAGATTTATTTTTCCTTTTATTTTCTCATCTCCTTAAGAATGTTTTTTTTTCTTATTCATTCACACACAGTAACTAACCCCTTGTGTTTTAGTCACTTAATTCCCTTGCTTGAAGAAATGAGTAAAAAAAATGTGTTAATTTTCACAGGTTTCATTTTACTTTTTCTGTTACGTCTTTCTCTCTGCAGATGTCAGAATCCAGCTTATTGGTGGCTCATCAGAAATCAGTGGAAGAATTGAAATCACTCGTAAAGGAGTCAAAGGAACTGTCTGTGATGACCACTTTGATAACAATGATGCAAAAGTTATTTGTAGAATGATGGGATACAGGTGATTTTTGACTTTTAATTTTTTTTTACATATTTTATTTAGAGAAACAAGGTATTAGATTATGAATGCCATGGCTGCAACAGTTTATTACCTGCAAAATTGTTGGATCACTGAAAGCACTTCTTTATATGCTTATTATTGTTAAGATAAGGTTTTGATTGATCTGTTTTCCAAACATCTCAGGTCGAACTCTCCAGCCTTCATTAGGCGTAAACCATTAGAACAAAGGAAACCTCTTCCTCAAGAGAATAACAAATTAGCTACAAAAATTACCCATGTATATATCCCTTATTTGTTCTATTTCTGTAGCATTAGGTACTTCAAGAAACACATATGGTAACTTAATACAATATGTGGGGTCACTTCCCTAACCTTTCATTTGTAAGCATCTTCTTCCTGGTACTGTTAATATGCATCATCATAGGGATTAAAGTTGCATGCTCTGTATTAATTTGCAGTTTCCATTTGATTTAGAATAATTATGTAACATCCATTGTCCAGTATGAAGTATGTTCTGCCTACCTGCATTGCTGTAATGCCAGATCTGTTCTGTTAGATTCGGCCACTGACCACTTTAACATCCTGCTTTGCAACGTCTTCACAATAACCATGGCAGTGGTTTACATTCTCAAAAGAGCAACCTGTGATTTGATTGTTATAGTTTTGAATTCAGAGTTTTTTTTTTCTATAGTAACTGCCAGTCAAAAATAGAGGGCTCATTCTACCCTACTATTTTACTCAAAAGCTGGTGGAGGAGATGCATTCATGCCTCTCCTAGGGGTAGTTGTATGTAAATGAACCTACCCAACATGACTGAAATTCAAATTTGTCTCTGTAATGTATTGCTATACATCATACCCCCTGTATATCCAAACATTGGCATAGTATATTATAAACACCTTATTTTATCAGATTTTAATATTGTTAACAACCAAACCTCCCTAAGAATCTACTTGAAAGAGTAGTTTTATAATTCATAAATGTAACAAAAATCATTTTTGATCTGTTCTGGTTTCCCAATACAGGTGAAATCATTTCTCTTGCTACAAATATAGTCGAACATGAGCTTCTCTTTCCTTTCTTGTTAATAGATGCTGCCAACTTCCACCTCCTTACAAAATCATAGAAATAATTATTGTTATGGGGTAATTTCAATGAAATTCACTATCAAAAGTATTTGAAACAGTTTTTTTTTTAACAATTTTAACTTTAATAATTGTTTAAAAAATTGTATTTATACTTTTGTGCAAATTAATTGAAACAACTGCTTTAGTTTCCTTTCTTTCAGCATACAGTCAGTTTTAGACCCACTGAAGTGACAGGGTGTAATCGATTTCTATTTTTTCCTCAGATTAGGTCATTTGCAGTGGTGTGCAGAAATATGAATCTATTTTTGGGGTGTATGATGAAATTTGTTTGGCCTTTGAAAATATTGCATCATCCATGATTGCATCAGATTTTTATGCCCAGACACTTTTGTCTTGACTGTCAATTAGTTGTCCTATGGCCATTGTCTGCAATGGATGTTACTCCATGGAATTATATGAAAATTAGTAATGCTGCATGAACAAACTGGCAAGCCTTACCAGTGAGCAAATCAAAGTACTATAGATTGGTTCAGAAACTCTCCTGATTTAAATCCAATCAAGAATCTGTGGTCAATCTGGAACAACTTTTTGGAATGGATATACAAAGTACTAACATGTGCACTGGGTCATGTTTCATTGGAAAAATATGAAAAAAAGTAAATAATAATGGAATTATTTGTTTTGTTTCAATTAATTTGCACAAGGGTGTATGGAGATTTTAAAAATTATCAGCTTTATTGAAAGTTGTTCCAGAATTAATTCTGCTGCTTTTTTCTCAGATTTGGGAGAGTGGACTTTGGTCAAGAAATTTTCACTCACCACCTACATAATGTACCATATTTGATATCATATAAGATGCATTTGTGTATAAGATTCATCCCAGTTTCAGCAGGGTAAATCAGTAAATAATGCCTCATGCTCATTTCCATTGAGAGCACTGCTAATGCCACACACCCTTTAAAAGATTTCACAACAATTTCTGGTCTAATATTTTCCAAAGTTAATTTCGTCCATTCACAGAATCGTGCAGTGCTGAGTCTTTTATTCTTCCTGTAAGTGTAAGGTCATGCTGAGTCATTGCTATCCACATGTTCCATTGTACCTTCATGTGGAACTTGAATGGTCTATTCAAATATACATCCAGAGGTTTGCAACTGACTCATTAGTCCACCAGGAAAATGCTATCTCTGTCTTCAATTCTTTACTTTCTTTTTAATGGATTCAGTCCTATGCACTCAGAAGTGATCCCAAACCAGAAAGAGGGCTTTCAGTCAGCTCATGGCCATAACTGAAGAACAGCTTGTCCATCCATCCTTTAGGATGAACAGGAGCATGAACATGCACACCTTTTGGTATTTTATCTTTCGATGTAGTTTTTCTCTTAAAAATCTGAAAAGGAGGCAGTTTTGTGCCATCAGTGCAACATGCAAGAATTATCATATAATGGGTCTTCACATAGTTTGTGATTTTTATTGTAATAGCCTTGAATCACTTAATACTCAGTTTTGTTTCATGGAACATCAAACATTAGTGGGACTTCATCCCCATTTCCTCTCTGGCCAAGATCTTTTTTGAGCCTGTTTGACAAATTTAAGAAACTTTACTCTTTTGTCATCATATTCAGCTGGCATTCTCTGCACAATTGATGTTTCTGTGCATCTTGACAAACCTTCCTCTTTCAAAAATGATAAAACCACTCTTCTGTTCCTATAAAAGTTATGAATTTTTTTTTTGTTTGCTAATCTTCTAACTTTTGTTCCTTATCATTTTCATACTAATGATTCTGCTGGTACTCCTCACATCTACAACCCATGTTTTAATTTCCTCTTCAATTTCAGACCAGTGTTGGGCTGTGTGGCAAAGGTTTCCTTTCTTCATTGCCTGTAGGTTATTTTCCTGCAATCTCCAGTAACATAATTTTTTCTGTAGGTGGAGGGCCAACATATTTGGCAGCTGCTCTATTTCCATGCTCTTTAGCATAGTTTATTACATGAAGCTTGTATGCAACAGTGTAGCTTTACTTCTTTCTTGGTGTTGTCATATCTGAAGGAGTGAAATTCAGTCAAAAATTTTCCTTTATATGATCTATACCACCAGCATCTTGTAAATGTCTTAGTGGAATAATTAGGATATGAAAATTCTGATTGTATTTATGCCAATGCAACTGTAAGTTATCCCAAGAAAAATATTAATGAAACAAATATATTTGACAAATATATAATTTAAATTTATTGCATATAATTTTAGTGAAACAAAGTACTAATATCAAATGTGATGAAATTAATATAATGAATATTATCAATGATAACACTTTTAATCTGCATAATAGCCTTTGAAATAATGACAAGAGGTATATGAAAGTTACTCTAAAGTCTAAGCTAAGAGGAGCTGCCAGGTAGTTAATTTCAGCCAACTATCGCAAATTTTAAAACTACATTTGACATATAAGATGCAGGGGGAATTTTAAAAGATAATTTTAGTAAAAAAAAGTGAACCTTATATGCCATCAAATACAGTAGTTTGTTTTTGATTAAATAATTTTTTTATTTCAGTTCTGGAAAAAGTTATTCCAAATATATATGGACAAGGTCAAGGTGTCATCTGGCTTGATGATCTCAATTGTACTGGTTCAGAAGTTGAACTTGAAATTTGTTCCAAACTTTCTTGGGAAAGCATAACTGTGGACACGATGAGGATGTTGCCATTAGATGTATCAAAAAAAAAAGTAAATGCAACCACAGGTATGACATGTGAAACTTTCTCGACAGACCAAAATGGTAAGTAATTTTGTCTATCTGATTAATTCAGGAAGTGTTTTGACTTATATTCTCATCCTTCCAAGAATTATTTAGACTATTGATGTTATTTTATTTGTTCTTATCATTAAATATTAGCTGATCCAGTTTTCTTCAGATGTTAGGAATTGTGGAGGTATTTTTTATCATTGAACAATTCCAATTTTAGTACATGATCTCTTCCTATCCTGTTGGCAATGATTAGAATAGCCATCCAAAAATGAGGAACATTTTAGTTGGTTATTTGCAGATATAACTATAAATCTCAGTAATATACACCAATTTGACACTAGTGCAAAAACAGGTCCATGTCTACTATTCTGAGAATATGTCTTACTTTACTGCCAAACTCCTCCTTGTCTACTGTTTTTGACATTTTTTATGAGTTCTGTCCTATAAGACTTATATTCAATATTATTGTTATTCTATCAGAAAATGTTGATATGTCATTACATAAAATAACTTGATCAAAATTTAAAAAGCTTCATCCCTTTGTATAGGTCTTGACTAATAAATATGAATCATTAATGAAGAATAAAATACCAAATTCCTCTTGTCATTTTCTTTTTGAAAAATAATGTACAAATGATTTTCTTTAGAAAAAATTGTTACCAATGAATTTCCGTCACAAAAGTACTTGCAATGCATTATTTTGGAATAATTTTTGTCTTATATATATATATATATATATATATATATATGTGTGTGTGTGTGAAAAATATATAGAAAATAGGAAAGAACTCGTTAGATAAATAATCCAAAGTTCTTTAGTATTTTTGTTATTATTTTTAAAAAATAGTGCTCAATACAAAAGTAGAGCATAAATATAATTATTTATTTAAAACTATGATTCCAACACGCTCCATATATATATATATATATATGTTTCATTAAATAATATAGAGAAGTTTTGTCTATTTATTTTAAGTAAGTTCCTTTCATATTGTCCGATAAGCTTAATCACATTATCATTGAAAGACGAAAGGAAAACACCATATTGATACATGTAGAAATCCATCTGCCAAATACACACAATATATATATATATATATATATATATATATATATATATAATTATTTAGTTAGTTGGATTGATGTGAATTAGTGACCATGGGTTTCCCACTGACAAACTAATTAATTTTTAAATTTTGAATTTATATATGGTTGCGTATATGGGTGTTTTTGTGGTAGTGGGAGGTAATATTGTTGTCGGAATGCCACTCATTGCAGCTTGGCAAAACATAAACATACATGAACAGTGTGGGACTGGTTGTATATGTGCCTCCATGTGTCGTTGCGTATATACGTATTGGTCACTGTATTCAATGTTGGATTGTGTAGTGAACTACTTTCATAAGTCACAGTGTCAACATGCAAACTGTTCATCTATTTTGTTTGCATAATAATGTTTTCTTGCACACACATATATACGTATGCATGTGCATTCACACATCTTCTATCCATCTTTTTTTTAAGATGGGGTGTGTGTACGACTGGGGTATGTAAGATTGTTATTATTTTTGATTTTTTTAATGCTGTTTTGTTATTATTTTAAAGCCAGTTATTTGCTTGTTTTAGGTGATTGTACTCATGTAAATGGTAGAAAATCCAATTTATAATACTTATTAGTAGTTATGCGGTGGTATTAATTTTGCTGGGTGGGGGAGTAAGGATGATGTAGTAATGATACTTGTTGTGTGGTAGTAATGGTGGGGGGAGCGTGTGATGATAATAACAATTGTAGCAGCAAATAGTTATGGTAAAATGGTAGAAGTGATTGTAGAAATGGAATATTAATAACAATAATTATAATTACTATGATGGTAGTTTTAACTAGAAAGTAATTGATGGCATTGGTCGGTATTTTTTTTTTTTATCCGTTTGGTATAAATTGTGATAATAGGTATTTGTTTCAATGTCTGTATTTAGAAATTATTACTGATATTATATTTAGTAATTTCTTTTGCTGGGTACAAAAAATTATTGCTACCTTTTCATGTACGCAAAGTAGGCTTTTCTTTGTGATGTGGTTGTAGGCATGTGCATTTTTCATTATTTCCCAGCTTATTGACAGTTTGCAATAACAAGAAAAAAAACAGGGCAAAAAATAATATAAAGCAAGCAAATTAACACAAATGAGGCAAAGCAACAGTAATATGGCAAAATGTTCACAAACAAAGAATTGGCATTAACACGTAAGCAAGTTTGGACAAGAGAACGTAGCATTCTGAATTCAAAACAAGACAGACTAGGACTGCGTCAGATGAAACCATGAATTGGCTTATTTTATTGGCTAGGAAAAAACTCCCGGAATGCATTTGTATACTTCTGCTTATAACAGGGGAGGGGAAAGTGTTTTGCAGTGATTCCTTAATTTGATTGAAACCAAATATATAGAATAAAAAAATGGCTGAAAGAAATGTTGAAAAGCAATAGATATGGAATATTGCTGAAAGATTAGAATTTTTAAAGTATCCTAGTGGAAGTTTGCTGAAAAAAGTTGACCACTTTGCCAATGCATTTAATTAATAAAATTGTCAACAATGCATTTCCACAGTGTGTGTGTGTGCGTGTGTGAATTTCCTTTAATATACTTAATATCAAAATCAAATGTCATTAGTTTTTATAACCCATCTTAATATCCTTAATATTATCATTTCTTCTTTCAATTCTTTTTTATCATTCAGATAAACCAAGTTTGTAGTTTGTATATATCTCTTTTTTAATTTCACACTTTTCATTTTCAATATACCTGCTGATGGAGAGGACTTCATCTTCAGATTTTTGATTACCATAAGGTGTTTAGCTAACTATCTGATGTAGGAACCCATGCAAGGTGGACGATGGCTGGGAGGCAAAACGGATATATTTAGTTATATCTGAATTTGTACAAATATACACATACACTTGTTTTGTTTGAGCTTCTCTAGAAATGCACTATCATATCTTTTTAGTTGTATGTTTATATTGCAACAATATGGAACTAACAATATGAGGCATATTGTTAGCAATACAAACTGAAAAGATAATCATCAAATATATTTTCTTCAATTTCTTTGTTATTGTTCTTTGTAAGGTGGTCAAGATTTTCTCCTACAAAATCTTTGTACGTTTGTTATTTCTATCTGTTTTTGCTACCTGAAAAGGAATAAACAATTGCAAATCTCCAGTTCCTAAGATTAAATGGATGCATGAATTTTCATGGGTCCCACTTTCTTTTTGTGTTTTCTCTTTTTCTCTGCAGCCATCAGAATCCAGCTCGTTAATGGCTCATCAGAAATCAGTGGTAGAATTGAAATCACTCGTGAAAGAACAAAAGGAAGTGTCTGTGATGATGAATTTGATGACAATGATGCAAAAGTTATTTGTAGAATGATGGGATACAGGTAATTTTGAATTTTAATATTTTTAGATATTTTTTTCTTTAGATAAAAAAGTAGTTAGATAATGCAAATAATGAGTGCAACAATATTGTTTGGAAACTCAAATGAGTTTTACATATGCTTACTATTGTTAAAATATTTTAGCTGATCCATTCTCCAGCCGTTATGAGGTGTAATCTCTGAGCATCAACTTAACCATTTCTCAATAAAATATGATAAGTGTAGAGTGGGCAAACAGTGCATTTCTAAAGAAAGGAATCCTTGTACCATTATCTTTTTAATTTCTACTTCCCCTCTAACACAACCTTTTAAATGTCTGATATATGTCATTTTATTGAGCTCTCTTACTCCTTAAATTGATGCTCCCTATTATCTGCACCTCATCCCATAGAATATAATTTGCCCCAGGCTAGGAGATCAATTCTACAAATATAGCCTCTTCCATGTCCTATCGACACAACTGAACAACCATTGCTTATTGTCAACACTAACAAAAGCACTTGAAATATTTTTTATGTGTTTAATTTTTATAATAATTTTAAAATTTAAGTCTAGATTATTCTCATCTGATTGAAGAAGTGACTTCAAAATCAATTCAGATTTTCAAAAATAATTCAGACCAAGAATTTACAGTCTTTAATTCCATAATGTAATTTTTTAAAGATAAATTTTGGATTTCAGTACTGGAGAAGAAATTCCAAATATATTTGGAGATGGGGAAGGTGTCATCTGGCTTGATAACCTCAATTGTACTGGATCAGAATATGGAGTTGAAATGTGTCCCAATCTTTCTTGGGGAAAGCATAATTGTAAACACTCTGATGATGTTGCCATCAAATGTTTCAAAAAAGGTAAATACAACCTTATCATCAGCCACAAATATACCTCCAACTTGAACAACAGACCAAAATTGTAAGTCAGCTGCTTTTCAGATTAATTCATTAATTCCTTCTGATTTTTGTCCTTTAAGAGAGATATTCAGCAGTAAGTAAACAAAGAAGAGTTGATATGTCAGTAAATTAACCATCCTGACCTTTGAAACTGATGTAAGGAAACAGCTTATCTCTTTTTGTTGGAGTAGGTCATGCAGCTCACATGATGCCCACTTTGTGATGCCACTTGATATAGTCACCAAAGTGGCAGTTATTCTAATTTTCTCTTCTAAACATATTGTCCAGTTGAGGGAAAATTCAGATCTACTAAGGTGATGCAAAAAGAGAAAATTAGAATAATAAAATTCAATAATCAGAGCAAACTATTAAATCAAAGAATGAATTTGTTTTAAAATGTCGTCATAGAATCAGTTGAAAAAGACTATACTCATGAGGTAATTGTGTATTTCTTTGTTGTGCAATTTATATGCTCTGTTATAGTAAATACATCAAGCTCTTTTTGTGGGTCAGTTCTAATATTTTATATTATTAGGATCCACTTGGATGATATACCAACGGATTCATTACCTGTACTTTATATACATATATAAAGTTTTCATTTTATTCTTAAATGTTATAATTTTTATGACAGTTTCTAACAACCTCTATAAGTCTTAAACCTGGGTATAAATTGAATTTAACCCTTTAAATGCTTTTCCACATTCAGCCAGGTGTATGAAACAATTTTTTTTACTTCAAACTGTATTTTTCTTGAATGCTTCATATTGCATTCTATATTGTATTCTGTTGCAGCTCAGTTGCCATAATGATATCTGCTCTCTCACTGTTTGATGTATCAGTGAGTTGAAGGAGGAAGGGGTGATGACTTTGCTCTGCTTCTTCCTATGAGGCACCTCTCTGCCAAAAATGCACACATTCATTATTTTATGCATGGCTAAACCCCCAAATGTCAGGAGAAGACTATATAAATGCAAGGTTAAAATAAGTTGCCACTTCTTACCTTTTGCCAGAAAATCTATTTTTTATTTCTAAAATCAGATGGAAATTAAACATCTGCTTCATTTTATCACTTGTATACATTATTTTTTAGTTTTAAAATAAAATACAGTGTATCAATAAAATAAATGTACATACATAAATATGTCAGAATGTTTATTTTGATTATTTTCATTTAAATTTCCAACATATCTATGAAAATTTAAGAAAGAACCTGTAACAGTAAACTTAAACAATTACAAGTTTCATAGAGCTATGGCTTGTAAAGCAGTGAAAGAAGCCAAAAAAGAATGTTGGTAAAAATATGTCAACAACTTAAACTCAAAATCAAAATCAGTATGAGAAATGTTTACATAAACAACTTGAAAATACTAAACTATACCTATGAAGGATCTTTTAAAAAATAACAACATCATAACCAATAAAAAAATGACATAGTAGATGCACTAGCTGAAACTATTTTAAAAATTGCTTGTGCTCATCAAAATTCCTAGTTCTAAAAGAAAACACAGAAAAATATAAACTCAGTTTTATATCTAGCAACCCAGAAAGCTACAACCAGTGGCGTAGTTAAGGTGGGGGTGGGGGGAGTAGAAGTAGATACCATATGATTCTAGTACAAGAAGGAAAATCAATAGTTAATACCAAATGAGGAAAAAAATGGCTGATAGCATATGATTGCATACCAAAAATACATAGTTGAGGCCATATAACTGAGTATAAAAGAAGATACAATTTAGATATTAAGCAATTTAAGTCAGTCTTAAGTTTTAAATGATACATTAGGGGTTAAGATGTAAAACAAAACCAACCAACCAATCAACCCGAGATATGTTGAGAGATTCTTGTTCAAATATGAATCTGCAATATTATGTTTCCTTTTATTTTTCTTACTCCTTAAGAATGTTTTTCTTTTTCTTATTCATTCACACACAGTAACTAACCCTTTGTGGTTTAGTGACTTCATTCTCTTGCTTGCAAGAAATAAGTAAAAAGGAAATGTGTTAATTTTCACAGGTTTCATTTACTTACTTTTTCTGTTACGTCTTTCTCTCTGCAGATGTCAGAATCCAGCTTATTGGTGGCTCATCAGAAATCAGTGGAAGAATTGAAATCACTCGTAAAGGAGTCAAAGGAACTGTCTGTGATGACCACTTTGATAACAATGATGCAAAAGTTATTTGTAGAATGATGGGATACAGGTGATTTTGACTTTTAATTTTTTTTTTACATATTTTATTTAGAGAAACAAGGTATTAGATTATGAATGCCATGGCTGCAACAGTTTATTACCTGCAAAATTGTTGGATCACTGAAAGCACTTCTTTATATGCTTATTATTGTTAAGATAAGGTTTTGATTGATCTGTTTTCCAAACATCTCAGGTCGAACTCTCCAGCCTTCATTAGGCGTAAACCATTAGAACAAAGGAAACCTCTTCCTCAAGAGAATAACAAATTAGCTACAAAAATTACCCATGTATATATCCACTTATTTGTTCTATTTCTGTAGCATTAGGTACTTCAAGAAACACATATGGTAACTTAATACAATATGTGGGGTCACTTCCCTAACCTTTCATTTGTAAGCATCTTCTTCCTGGTACTGTTAATGTGCATCATCATAGGGATTTCAGTTGCATGCTCTGTATTAATTGCAGTTTCCATTTGATTTAGAATAATTATGTAACATCCATTGTCCAGTATGAAGTATGTTCTGCCTACCTGCATTGCTGTAATGCCAGATCTGTTCTGTTAGATTCGGCCACTGACCACACTTAACATCCTGCTTGCAACGTCTTCACAATAACCATGGCAGTGGTTTACATTCTCAAAGAGCAACCTGTGATTTGATTGTTATAGTTTTGAATTCAGAGTTTTCTTTTTTCTATAGTAACTGCCAGTCAAGAATAGAGGGCTCGTTCTACCCTACTATTTTACTCAAAGCTGGTGGAGGAGATGCATTCATGCCTCTCCTAATGATAGTTGTATGTAAATGAACCTACCCAACATGACTGAAATTCAAATTTGTCTCTGTAATGTATTGCTATACATCATACCCCCTGTATATCCAAACATTGGCATAGTATATTATAAACACCTTATTTTATCAGATTTTAATATTGTTAACAACCAAACCTCCTAAGAATCTACTTGAAAGAGTAGTTTTATAATTCATAAATGTAACAAAAATCCTTTTGATCTGTTCTGGTTTCCCAATACAGGTGAAATCATTTCTCTTGCTACAAATATAGTCGAACATGAGCTTCTCTTTTCCTTTCTTGTTAATAGATGCTGCCAACTTCCACCTCCTTACAAAATCATAGAAATAATTATTGTTATGGGGTCATTTCAATGAAATTCACTATCAAAAGTATTTGAAACAGTTTTTTTTTAACAATTTTAACTTTAATAATTGTTTAAATAATTGTATTTATACTTTTGTGCAAATTAATTGAAACAACTGCTTTAGTTTCCTTTCTTTCAGCATACAGTCAGTTTTAGACCCACTGAAGTGACAGGGTGTAATCGATTTCTATTTTTTCCTCAGATTAGGTCATTTGTAGTGGTGTGCAGAAATATGAATCTATTTTTGCAGTGTATGATGAAATTTGTTTGGCCTTGAAATATATTGCATCATCTGCGATTGCATCAGATTTATGTCACTCTTTTGTCTTGACTGTCAAATAGTTTTCCTATGGCCATTGTCTGCAATGGATGTTACTCCATGGAATTATATGAAATTAGTAATGCTGCATGAACAAACTGGCAAGCCTTACCAGTGAGCAAATCACGGTACTATAGATTGGTTCAGAAACTCTCCTGATTTAAATCCAATCAATAATCTGTAAGGAACAACTTTTTGGAATGGATATACAAAGTACTAACATGTGCACTGGGTCATGTTTCATTGGAAAAATATGAAAAAAGTATATAATAATGGAATTATTTGTTTTGTTTCAATTACTTTGCACAAGGGTGTATGGAGATTTTTAAAAATTATCAGCTTTATTGAAAGTTGTTCCAGAATTAATTCTGCTGCTTTTCTCAGATTTGGGAGAGTGGACTTTGGTCAAGAAATTTTCACTCACCACCTACATAATGTACCATATTTGATAGCATATAAGATGCATTTGTGTATAAGATTCATCCCAGTTTCAGCAGGGTAAATCAGTAAATAATGCCTCATGCTCATTTCCATTGAGAGCACTGCTAATGCCACACCCTTTAAAAGATTTCACAACAATTTCTGGTCTAATATTTTCCAAAGTTAGCTTCGTCCATTCACAGAATCGTGCAGTGCTGAGTCTTTTTATTCTTCCTGTAAGTGTAAGGTCATGCTGAGTCATTGCTATCCACATGTTCCATTGTACCTTCATGTTTTACTTGAATGGTCTATTCAAATATACATCCAGAGGTTGCAACTGACTCATTAGTCCACCAGGAGTAATCGCTATCTCTGTCTTCAATTCTGCCACTTTCTTTTTAATGGATTCAGTCCTATGCACTCGAGAGTGATCCCAAACCAGAAGAGAGGGCTTTCAGTCAGCTCATGGCCATAACTGAAGAACAGCTTCGTCCATCCAGCCTTTTGGATGAACAGGAGCATGAACATGCACACCTTTTGGTATTTTATCTTTCGATGTAGTTTTTCTCTTAAAAATCTGAAAAGGAGGCAGTTTTGTGCCATCAGTGCAACATGCAAGAATTATCATATAATGGGTCTTCACATAGTTTGTGATTTTTATTGTAATAGCCTTGAATCACTTAATACTCAGTTTTGTTTCATGGAACATCAAACATTAGTGGGACTTCATCCACATTTTTTGAGCCTGTTTGACAAATTTAAGAAACTTTACTCTTTTGTCATCATATTCAGCTGGCATTCTCTGCACAATTGATGTTTCTGTGCATCTTGACAAACCTTCCTCTTTCATAAAATGATAAAACCACTCTTCTGTTCCTATAAAGTTATGAATTCCCTTTTTGTTTGCTAATCTTCTAACTTTGTTCCTTATCATTTTCATACTAATGATTCTGCTGGTACTCCTCACATCTACAACCCATGTTTTAATTTCCTCTTCAATTTCAGACCAGTGTTGGGCTGGGTGGCAAAGGTTTCCTTTCTTCATTGCCTGTAGGTTATTTTCCTGCAATCTCCAGTAACATAATTTTTTCTGTAGGTGGAGGGCCAACATATTTGGCAGCTGCTCTATTTCCATGCTCTTTAGCATAGTTTATTACATGAAGCTTGTATGCAACAGTGTAGCTTTACCTCTTTCTTGGTGTTGTCATATCTGAAGTCAAAAATTTTCCTTTATATGATCTATACCACCAGCATCTTGTAAATGTCTTAGTGGAATAATTAGGATATGAAAATTCTGATTGTATTTATGCCAATGCAACTGTAAGTTATCCCAAGAAAAATATTAATTAAACAAATATATTTGACAAATATATAATTTAAATTTATTGCATATGATTTTAGTGAAACAAAGTACTAATATTAAATGTGATGAAATTAATATAATGAATATTATCAATGATAACACTTTTAATCTGCATAATAGCCTTTGAAATAATGACAAGAGGTATATGAAAGTGACTCTAAAGTCTAAGCTAAGAGGAGCTGCCAGGTAGTTAATTTCAGCCAACTATCGCAAATTTTAAAACTACATTTGACATATAAGATGCAGGGGAATTTTAAAAATAATTTTAGTAAAAAAAAGTGAACCTTATATGCCATCAAATACAGTAGTTTGTTTTTGATTAAATAATTTTTTTTTATTTCAGTTCTGGAAAAGTTATTCCAAATATATATGGACAAGGTCAAGGTGTCATCTGGCTTGATGATCTCAATTGTACTGGTTCAGAAGTTGAACTTGAAATTTGTTCCAAACTTTCTTGGGGAAAGCATAACTGTGGACACGATGAGGATGCTGCCATTAGATGTATCAAAAAAGTAAATGCAACCACAGGTATGACACCAACTTTCTCGACAGACCAAAATGGTAAGTAACTTGTCTATCTGATTAATTCAGGAAGTGTTTTGACTTATATTCTCATCCTTCCAAGAATTATTTAGACTATTGATGTTATTTTATTTGTTCTTATCATTAAATATTAGCTGATCCAGTTTTCTTCAGATGTTAGGAAGAAAGTGGGAGGTATTTTTTATCATTGAACAATTCCAATGTTAGTACATGATCTCTTCCTATCCTGTTGGCAATGATTAGAATAGCCATCCAAAAAATGAGGAACATTTTAGTTGGTTATTTGCAGATATAACTATAAATCTCAGTAATATACACCAATTTGACACTAGTGCAAAACAGGTCCATGTCTACTATTCTGAGAATATGTCTTACTTTACTGCCAAACTCCTCCTTGTCTACTGTTTTTGACATTTTTATGAGTTCTGTCCTATAAGACTTATATTCAATATTATTGTTATTCTATCAGAAAATGTTGATATGTCATTACATAAAATAACTTGATCAAAATTTTAAAGCTTCATCCTTTGTATAGGTCACAACTAATAAATATGAATCATTAATGAAGAATAAAATACCAAATTCCTCTTTTCATTTTCTTTTTGAAAAATAATGTACAACTGATTTTCTATAGAAAAAATTGTTACCAATGAATTTCCGTCACAAAAGTACTTGCAATGCATTATTTTGGAATAATTTTTGTCTTGCATATATATATATATATATATATATATATATATATATGTTTCATTAAACACCATATTAATACATGTCTAATTTCAACATGCCTAATTATGCACAATATATATATATATATATATATATATATATATATATAATTATTTAGTTAGATTGATGTGAGTTTGTGAACATGGGTTTCTCATTATGTTTGATGCGAAAATCGTCAAGACAAACTAATTTATTTTAAATTTTATATTTATATATGGTTATTTATATCAGTGTTTTTATGGTAGTGGGAGGACAAAAATTGTTTTAAATTTGGATTTATATACTCATATATATACACACACATTCACGCATTGCAGCTTGCACAAACATAAACATATATGAATAATGTTGAACTGTTCGTATATATGCATCCATGTGTCATTGCATACATACGTATGCCACTGGTCACTGTATTCAATGTTGGATTGTGTAGTGAACTTCTTTCGTAAGTCACACTGTCAATATGCAGACTGTTTTTCTATTTTGTATGCGTTATCAAGTTTTCTCGCACACGCATATATACATATGCATGTGCATTCACACATCTTCTGTCCATCTTTTCTTTTTAAGATGGGGTGTGTGTAAGACTATGGATGGTAAAATTGTTATTATTTTTAATTTTTTTTAATGCTGTTTTGTTATTATTTTAAAGCCTGCTATTTTCTTGTTTTAGGTGATTGCACTTATGTAGATGGTAGAAACTCCAATTTATAATATTTATTAGTATTTATGTAGTGGTATTAATTTTACTGGGTGGGGGAGGAAGTATGATGTGAACTGATGTGGTAATGGTAATTGTTGTGCAGTAGTAATGGGGGGGAGCAGGTGATGATAATAACAATTGTAGCAGCAAATAGTTATGGTAAAATGGTAGAAGTGATTGTGGCAATGGAAGGGTAATAACAATAATTATAGTTACTATGATGGTAGTTTGAACTAGAAAATAATTGATGGCGCTATGGTGTCAGTGGGTTCCTCTCTTCGTGTTCAGAGGCTCAATGGTGGTTTATGTAGTAGTGTTTGTTGGTATTTTTTTATCTGTTTGGTATAAATTGTGATAATAGGTATTTGTTTCATGTCTGCATTTAGAAATTATTACTGATATTATGTTTAGTAATTTCTTTTGCTGGGTATGAAAAATTATTGCTACCTTTTCATGTACGCAAAGTAGGCATTTCTTTGTGATGTGGTTGTAGGCATGTGCATTTTTCATTATTTCCCAGCTTATTGACAGTTTGCAATAACAAGAAAAAAACAGGGCAAAAAATAATATAAAGCAAGCAAACAATATATGCAAGCAAATTAACACAAATAAGGCAAAGCAACAGTAATATGGCAAAATGTTCACAAACAAAGAATTGGCATTAACAAGTAAGGAAATTTGGCAAAAAGAACGTAGCATTCAGAATTCAAGACAAGACAGACCAGGACTGCAACAGATGAAACCGGGAATTGGCCTATTTCATTGGCTAGGAAAAAATCCTGGGATGCATTTGTATACTTCTGCTTATAAAAGGGGAGGGGAAAGTGTTTTGCAGTGATTCCTTAATTTGATTGAAACCAACATATAGAATAAAAAAATGGTCAAAAGAAATATTGAAGAGCAATAGATATGGAATATTGCTGAAAGATTAGAAGTTTACAAGTATCCTAGTGGAAGTTTGCTGTAAAAATTGATCACTTTGCATTTCATTAATAAAATTATCAACAATGCATTTCCATAGTAAAAATGATTGATCATGCACAGCTATAGCATATATATATATGTGTGTGTGTGCGTGTGTGTGTGTGTGTGTGTATAAATTTCCTTTAATATACTTAATATCAAAATTAAATGTCATTAGTTGTTATAAGCCATCTTAATATTCTTGACGATGTGATTTTAGCTAATACTTTCTGTAAATACAAAAGTTAATGATGTAAAAAGCAGTGTGTGATAGGGAGAAGCACAACACTGCTGCCCATCCTGGACCAGCACCTAGACAAATGTAATCAATCCTGTTTTGGAACATGATAGGGAGGAATACACTGTACCAGCTTTAGATGCAGCACTCAGGTGACACCCTCATACTGATGCTTGCCATACTTCTTGTACAAAAAGCCCATATGCTCTCTGCATGAATCTAGGAATTTGAAGTTGAACCTAACTTCAAATATCGATGAAGACACATCCAGCACCTGGCACAAACTTTCTGGATTAGATTGAAGAAACAATATCTATCTTCTATCTGAAAGAATTAATAAATAGTTTAGTTAATAAATTTGAAGCTATTTAATTGATCCCATTTTGAATGTTGATAGCTATTGGGAACTGATTGTACCTTCTCAGACAAATATGCAATATGAATATCAATCAAATACTCAGGCAAATAAAGCACATGGTTCCTGTCTTCATCAATTCACTCTCTGCAATAGCATCACTGGCACATAATTTTCTAAGCTTTTCCTCCACTGCATTGGTCTGCATTAATATTCTATCATTATTTGAACATTTGTTTGCAGTAGCCACTTTTGTAGACAATTATTTTACTGTTGTATCCATCCATCATGTGTTAACTGCTACACACTGTTCTCTTTCTGAGAACTTATCACTGCAAACTTTACATATATTCATGTGAGCAAACTATTTCTGACTATTTGTACACATTTAGACACACAGTCTTTGAAGAATTCAGGCCACTTTGGTATATTTCTTCTTTCAATTCTTTTTTATCATTCAGATTAACTGAGTTTGAAGTTTGTATATATCTCTTTTTTAATTTCACACTTTTCATTTTCAATATACCTGCTGATGGAGAGGACTTCATCTTCAGATTTTTGATTACCATAAGGTGTTTAGCTAACTATCTGATGTAGGAACCCATGCAAGATGGACGATGGCTGGGAGGCAAAACGGATATATTTAGTTATATCTGAATTTGTACAAATATACACATACACTTGTTTTGTTTGAGCTTCTCTAGAAATGCACTATCATATCTTTTTAGTTGTATGTTTATATTGCAACAATATGGAACTAACAATATGAGGCATATTGTTAGCAATACAAACTGAAAAGATAATCATCAAATATATTTTCTTCAATTTCTTTGTTATTGTTCTTTGTAAGGTGGTCAAGATTTTCTCTTACAAAATCTTTGTACGTTTGTTATTTCTATCTGTTTTTGCTACCTGAAAAGGAATAAACAATTGCAAATCTCCAATATCTATGTTTAAATGCATGCATCAATTTTCACAGGTCTCATTCTCCTTTTGTGTTGTCTCTTTTTCTCTGCAGCCATCAGAATCCAGCTCGTTAATGGCTCATCAGAAATCAGTGGTAGAATTGAAATCACTCGTGAAAGAACAAAAGGAAGTGTCTGTGATGATGAATTTGATGACAATGATGCAAAAGTTATTTGTAGAATGATGGGATACAGGTAATTTTGAATTTTAATATTTTTAGATATTTTTTTCTTTAGATAAAAAAGTAGTTAGATAATGCAAATAATGAGTGCAACAATATTGTTTGGAAACTCAAATGAGTTTTACATATGCTTACTATTGTTAAAATATTTTAGCTGATCCATTCTCCAGCCGTTATGAGGTGTAATCTCTGAGCATCAACTTAACCATTTCTCAATAAAATATGATAAGTGTAGAGTGGGCAAACAGTGTATTTCTAAAGAAAGGAATCCCTGTATCATTGTCTTTTTCATTTCTACTTACCCCTCTGAGACAACTTTTTAAATGTCTGATATATGTCACATCATTGAGCACTCTTACTCCTTAAATTGATGCTCCCTTTTATCTGGGCCTCATTCCACAGAATGTAATGTGCCCCAGGCCAGGGGATTGCTTCCCATTTCTCGTAGTTAAATGTAGCCTCTTCCATATTCGATCAGCATAACTGAGAAAAACCATTGCTTATGGTCTAATTAGATCAATTTTAATTTTCAAAAAAGCATGTAAGATAATTTTTCTGTGCTTAATTTTTATAATAATTTTAAAATTTAAGCCTAGATTATTTTTATGAGTATGTGGTAAAAAAATTCTCATCTAATTCAAGAAGTAATTTCAAAATCAATTTTTGTCAGTCAGTTTTTTAAAATAATTCAGACCAAGAATTTACAGTCCTTAAATCCATAATGTAATTTTTTAAAGATAAATTTTGATTTCAGTACTGAGAAAAAATTTCAAATATATTTGGAAATGCAAAGGTGTCATCTGGCTTGATAACCTCAATAATACTGGATCAGAAGATGAAGTTGAAATTTGTCCCAATCTTTCTTGGGAAAAATAACTGTGGACATGGTGAGGATGTTGCCATTAAATGTTTCAAAAAGGAGCAAATACAATCTTATCATCAATCACAATTTATACCTCCAACTTCCAGTAAACAGACCAAAATTTTAAAGTCAGCAGTTTTTCTGATTATTTCATTAATTCCTTCTGATCCACTTGGATGATATACCAACGGATTCATTACCTGTACTTTATATACATATATAAGTTTTCATTTTATTCTTAAATGTTATAATTTTATGACAGTTTCTAACAACCTCTATAAGTCTTAAACCTGGTATAAATTGAATTTAACCCTTTAAATGCTTTTCCACATTCATATATATATTATTATTTAATTTTTTACTTCAAACTGTATTTTTTCTTGAATGCTTCATATTGCATTATATATTGTATTCTGTTGCAGCTCAGTTGCCATAATGATATCTGCGTTCTCTCTGTTTGATGTATCAGTGAGTTGAAGGAGGAAGGGGTGATGACTTTGCTCTGCTTCTTCCTATGAGGCACCTCTCTGCCAAAAATATATACATTCATTATTTTATGCATGGCAAACCCCCAAATGTCAGGGAAGACTATATAAATGCAAGGTTAAAATATATTGCCACTTCTTACCTTTTGCCAGAAAATCTTTTTTTATTTCTAAAATTTAGATGGCAAATTAAACATCTTCTTCATTTTATCATTATATATATTATTTTTAGTTTTAAAATAAAATACATATATCAATAAAATAAATATACATACATAAATATCAGAATGTTTATTTTGATTATTTTCATTTAAATTTAAATACATATATATGAAAATTTAAGAAAGAACCGTAACAGTAAACTTTTTAATTACCAAGTTTCATAGAGCTATGGCTTATTAAAGCAGCGAAAGAATAAAAAAAGAATGTTGGTAATAAAATATGTCAACAACTTAAACTCAAAATCAAAATCAGTATGAGAAATTTTTACAAACAACTTCCAAAATACTAAATATACCTATGAAGGATCTTTTTAAAAATAACAACATCATTTCCAAAAAAATGACATAGTAGATGCATGTATCGTCCAAAACATTTTAAAAATTGCTTGGTTCATTTAAAAATTCCTAGTTTTAAAAGAAAACACAGAAAAATATAAACTCAGTTTTATATCTAGTAACCCAGAAAGGTACAACCAATGGCGTAGTTATTTTTAAGGGGGGTGGGAAGTTGAAGCAGATACCATACGATTCTAGTACAAGAAGGAAAAAATCAATATTTACCAAATGACAAAAAAAAATGGCTGATATCCATTTTAGGATTCATGGGGAAAAAATTCAAAGTTGAGCCATATTTTTGCAATAAAAAAGAAGATCCAATTTAGATTTTCTCTCTCTTCTGATGTCTAAGTTTTAAATGCCTCATTAGGGTTAAGATGTAAAACAAAACCAACCAACCAATCAACAAGGAGATATATTGAGAGCTTTCTTGTTCAAATATGAATCTCCCTCTCTCCATATTTTTCCTTTATTTTTCTGTGTTTAAGAAAGAATTTTCTTTTCTTATTTCATTCACACTTTTTTAATAACCCTTTGTGGTTTAGTGACTTCATTCTCTCTTTTCTTGCAAAAAATAACCCTCTAAATGTGTTAATTTTCACAGGTTTTTCCCAACACCCCATTACGTCTTTCTCTTTAACAGATGTCAGAATCCAATTTAAACTCATCGAATTTCCAGTGGAAGAATTGAACGTACTCGTAAGGAGTCAAAGGAACTGTCTGTAAGGACCACTTTAAAACAATGATGCCAAAAGTTATTCGTTTGAATGATGGGAATCAGGTGATTTTGACTTTTAATTTTTTTACACATATTTTATTTAGAGAAACAAAAGATAGATTATGAATGTTCATGAAAATATTTGCAAATAGTTTATTAACAAAATTGTTGGATCACTGAACCCCACTCTTTATATGCTTATTATTTAAGATAAGGTTTTGATTATCTGTTTTCCAAACATCTCAGGTGGAACCATGAACGAAAATAGTGTAAAATATTTAAAACAAAAAAATTCTTTTTTTATCCAAGGGAAAATATAAAAAAAATAAAATAAAAAATTACAGATGAATATAAAACCTATTTGTTCTATTTCCTGTAGCATTAAAATAAGAAACACACATGGTAACTTATTCATGAATATGAACGGATCATCCTGAATTAGAAACCTTCATTTGTAATAAGCCTTTTTCCTAAAAGAATTTCAAGCGTAAAATAAAATCATAGGGGATTTGGCTTATAGACATGTATATATAGTATATTTATATATTGACTAAATAGATATTAACATCCATTATCCAGTTAAGTATCAAATGGCATAGCAAATGTTGTAATTCGGATCTTTCATCCTGATAAAGGCAGTTTGACTAACGTTTAACATGTTTTCATCTTTTTTTTAAAAATAACAATAACCATGGTGGTTGAAATGTCAAAAGAGGAACCTTTGATTTGATTGTTATAGTTTTGAATTCAGAGTTTTTTCTATAGTAATTGCCATGTTTAATAGGGGCCTGGTCTATACGTATTATTTTGTAAAAAGCTAATTTGGAGGAGATGCATTCATTGCCTCTCATTACCATTTGATAAAATGTGCTGTAAATGAAACTAACCCAACATGACTGAAATTCAAATTTGTCTCTGTACAGTATTGATAAACATCATCCCCTGTATATCCAAAGTTTGGCAAAACAGTATATTATAAAACCTTATTTTATCAGATTTAATAGTTAACAACCAAACCTCCTAAGAATCTACTTGAAATAGTAATTTTATAATTTTAAATGTAACAAAAATCCTTTTGATCTGTTCTGGTTCGCAACAAGGTGAAATCATTTCTCTTTACAAATATAGTCGAACCATGAGCTTCTCTTAGAGGGGACTTGTTAATAGATGCTGCCAAATTCCATCCCTCCTGATAAATTTAGAATTTGTTTTGAATAGATGGGGACCATTTCAAGTTAAAATTCACACGATCAAAAGTTTTTGAAACAGTTTTTTTTAACAATGTTTCTTTTAATAATTGTTTAAAATTGAAACAACTGCTTTAGTTTCCTTTCTTTCACCATACGGTCAATTTTAGACCCACTGGAGTGACAGGGGTGTAATCGATTTCTTTTTTTTCCTCAGATTAGGTCATTTGCAGTGGTGTGCAGTAATATGAATCTATTTTCGGGGTGTATGAAAATTTGTTTGGCCTTGAAAAATATTGCATCATCCGTGATTGCATCAGATTTTTATCACGTCCAGACACTATTGTCTTGACTGTCGATTAGTTGTCCTACGGCCATTGTCTGCGATGGACGTTACTCCAAGGAAGCGTACGAAAATTGTAACGCTGCTCGAACACACTGGCAAGCTTTACCAGTGAGCAAATCAAAGTACTATAGACTGGCTCGGAAACTCTCCTGATTTAAATCCAATCGAGAATCTGTGGTCAATCTGCAAGGAATGACTTTGTGGAATGGACATAAGTACTAACATGTGCACTGGGTCATGTTTCATTGGAAAAATATGAAAAAAAGTAAATAATAACGGAATTATTTGTTTTGTTTCAATTAATTTGCACAAGGGTGTAGGTTTTTTTTAACGGTTGTTTATTAATGAATGGAAATCATGGGTTTATTCCATACATCTTATGAATGTTAAAAAAAAAATTATTAAAAATAAAGGGTATAAAGTATATATTTTAATATATTTATTTGGGAAAACTGCCTAAAATGGAGGCAGATCAACATATTTCTTATTTAAGATATTTTAAATTGATCGTTACATAAAATATATATTAATGTCTATCAGACCATATAACCAAGTGACATTCAATACGGATTTACATAAGTTGTTTTAAATTGATTCTGATGAGAAAGTTTCATATTTCTATAAGGTCCAATTTTTAATCATGAATATTAATGATTATAAGATGAGATAAATATTTTCTGATTTTTAAATACTGATTTTTTTTTGAATTGTTAGCATTCATGACAACAAAAAAAGAATTTTGTTTTTTTGTAAATCAGTCATGAATTGCCAAGGCATTTTTTTAGAGTGATTTTTCCACCTATAGGCCCAAAGTTTTCCTGTTTAAATTCTTCATGTCCTCTAAAAAATATTTTTAACGGAA